TTGCTTCTTGTCCTGTCCTCAGAGATAAACAAGAATGATTTTTCTCCTTGTAACAATGTTTGGGTACTAGAAAGTTGTTATCGTGTCCCCTCCCAGTCTTCTCTTTTCCAGAGTAAACAAACCCAGTTTCTTCAGTCTTCCCTCAAAGGTTATGCTTTCTAGATCTTTAGTCATTTTTGTTGCTCTTCTCTGGACTGTCTCCAGCTTGACCACATTTTTCCTGAAATGTGGCGCCCAGAATTAAACATAGTACTCCAGTTGATGTCTAATCAGCACGTAGTAGAGTAGAAGTAGTATTTCTCATGTCTTGCTTACAACACTCCTGCTAACACATCCCAGAATGATGCGAAGTTTGGCAACAGTGTTACATTATTAACTCTTATTTAGCTTGTGGTCCACTATGACCACTAGATCCCTTTCTGCAGTACTCCTTCCTAGATAGTCATTTCCCATTTTGTATGTATACAACTGATTGTTCCTTCCCAAGTGGAATACTTTGCATTTCTTTTTATTGAATTTCATCCTTTTCACCTCAGGCCGTGTTTCCATTTTGTCTATATCATTTTGAGTTATAATCCTATTCTCCAAAGCACATGGAACTCCTCCCAGTGTGGTATCACTCGCAAACTTTATAAATGTGCTCTCTATGCCCTTATCTAAATCACTGATGATATTGAACAGAACCAGTCCCAAAACTGATCTGTGCGGAACCCCACTCATCATACCCTTCCAGCATGACTGTGAACCATTGATAACTACTCTCTGGGAACAGTTATCTAAACAATTATGCATCCACTTTATAGTATTTCCATCTAGGGTTTTTTCCCCTGGTTTTTCAATGAGAAGGTCATGTGAGATGGTAACAAATGCTTTACTAAAGTACAGATATCCAATGCCAACCATTTCCTGATTATCTACAAGGCTTGTTATCCTGTCAAAGAAAGCTTTCAGATTGGTTTTATATGATTTGTTCTTGACTAATCCATGCTGACTATTACTTATCACCTTATTATCTCCCAGATTATTTCAAATTATTTGCTCCATTATCTTTCTTGGTACAGAAGTTAAGTTTACTGGTTTGTAATTCCCTGGGTTGTTCTTATTTCCCTTTTTATAGAGGGCCAAATATATTGCCTTTTTCTAGTCTTCTGGAATCTCCTCTTTATTCCATGACTTTTCAAAGATGATAGATAATGACCCAATCACCTCCCTGCGTGTTCTAGGATGCATTTTATCAGGCCCTGGTGATTTGAAAATGTCTAACTTGTCTACGTAATTTTTAACTTGTTCTTTTTCTTTTTTAGCTTCTGAACTTACCTCATTTTCTCTAGCATTCTCTATGCTATGCATCCAATCATCACCAACCTTCTTGGTTAAAACCATAATAAAGAAGTCATTAAGCACCTCTGCCATTTCCACATTTTCTGTTATTGTTTTTCCCTCTTCGTTTAATAATGGGCCTACTCAGTCCTTGGTCTTCCTCTGCTTGGAATATATTTGTATAATGTTTTTCTGTTACCCTTTCTGTCTCTAACTAGTTTGAGGGTTTTTTTGTGCCTGGGCCTTTTTAATTTTGCTCCTACATATTTGTTGTTATTTGTTTGTATTCATCCTTTATAATTTGACCAGGTTCCACTTTTTTGTAGGACTTCTTTTTTGATTTTTAGATCATTCAAGATCTCCTGGTTTAGCCAGGGTGGTCTCTTGACGTACTTCGTATCTTTTCTACACAATGGAATAGTTTATTCTTGTGCCCTTAATAATGTCCATTTGAAAAACTGCCAACTGTCTTTGATTGTTTTTCCTCTTAGACTTGCTTTTAATGGGACCTTACCTACCAATTCCCTAAGTTTGCTAAAGTCTGCTTTCTTGAAATCCATTGTCTTTATTTTGGTGTTCTCTCTCCTACCATTCCTTAAAATCGTGAACTCCCTCATTTCATGATCAGGTTCACCTAAGCTGCCTTCCAAATTCTCAACCAGTTCCTCCCTGTTCGTTAAAATCAAATCTAGAACAGCCCCGCCTCCAGTAGTTTTCTCCACCTTCTGAAATGAAAAAAAATATATTCCAAGAAGTTTTTAGATAATCTGTATCAGCAGTGTTACATGTATAAGAAGATAACATAAGAATAGTCATACTGGGTCATACCAAAGATCCATCTAGCCTAGCAGCCTGTCTTCTGACAGAGGCCAATGCCAGATGTTCTAGGGGGGAATGAACAGAACATATAGAGACTCATCCCCTGTCACCCATGCCCAGCTTCTGATAGATGCTATGGAAACCTACTCTTCCCATCCTGGCTGATGACTTCTGATAGACTTATCCTCCATGAATTTATCTAATTCTTTTTGGACCCCTGTTATAGCCTTGACCTTCACAACACTGTCTGTCAAGGAGTTCCACAGGTTCATTGTGCATTATGTAAAGAAATATTTATTTTTGTTTGTTTAAACCTGATATCTATTAATTTCATTTGGTGACCCCGGCTTTATGTGTTATGGGAAGGATATACTGGATAGCTGAAGTCCCCCATCACCACCAAGTCCAGTGCTCTGGAAGATTTTATTAGTAGTTCAAAAAAGTTTTACCCATTTTTTCTGGTTAGATGTTCTGTAGGAGATCCTGTAGCCAGACAGAGACTCCCCTGTAACATCCATTTTTGCTTGCCTGGAGCATACAGGGCACACAGAGCAGAAGGCTTAGGCTGTGTGACCATGAATGGCTGTAAACAGAGATATGCTAATTGCTGACTAAGAGGCTGCTAAGGAGTGCTCTTGACTTAACCTATATTGATACGAACACACAGCTGTCTGCGGGGGGAGGAATCATTTGCTTAGTAAAAAAAAATGTCTAGTGCTTACAATTTAGTTATCTCTCTTGCAAGTGTAAATTAACTTGAAACTTGCTTGTAAGAACTGGCGCTACAAAACGGACTAGTACAATTTGGCATCTTAAGATAAGAAAGAGGATATGGGCCTCCAGGGGTATAAAGATGGGTCTAGCAGCACATTTACTCTGAGTGTCAATCTACCATCTATCTGCTGGTCGGATTAGGTGTTTGATTTCCTGAGGTTTTAAGGGGACGCCCACCTCGTATTCATCTTTCCTAGGAATTGAGAGACCGGCTCTGGCTTGACTCACTGGAGTCGAGAGGCACAGAAAGGGGTAAAAATTGTACCTGGATGTGGTCTTTTGACTTAAGTGTACACATAGATTTAGAGCTCTTTAAAGATTAAGTTGTCACTTGGTACCATTATTTCTATTTTCTATCTTTATTTTCTTTGTAACTGTACTAGGGGGTCCATGCCCATCGGGTCTTCGCGCCCTCGGGCCCCCGTCCCGCGCGGGCTCGAGACCCACAGTAACCAGTCTTCCTGCTTTCCCGGCGGGAGCGGGGGTCCTAGTGGTCGATTGCACACTTTGTCGCAATGCCGCCGGTCTTCTGACCGAGTACTCCCTCCGCTACTGAGGGGGAGGGAAAGGGGGGCCCGGGCCCACCCTCACTCACGGGCCCCAGCCCAGGGCCCTAAGGACACGGAACTAGCGAGTACCGGTCCGGCTGACAGGGCTCCTGCCGCAACTTGTCAGCCCGCCAGCTCGAACGAGCTCTGCCCTGGGCTGCCTCCTTTCCCTCCCCAAC